GCACTGTGTGCTGTGGTGTGTTGACAATGACCACTGATCACTAAATTCTAATTCTGTTGTCACCCTGAAATGCACACAAAATGCAAATCTCACCCAATGACATTTTCCGAAGATAGTGTTTCTTCTTTTGAAAGTCCTCTGGTCATAGCACTGCCTTACCAGAGAGAGATTTAAACTAATGAATCCAAGTTAAACTACTGGTCTTTGTAATCTTCATGCACACAACACACTATGTCCACAAACAAGGAAAATCAAAGACCATTTCAGAAACCTTGTCAGAAACAAACCGATTTATAACTCACTCATACATCATCATCTTAAATAAGCAGAGTAATCTAACTTTCCACTTAATGAAATATATATATACACATTATACAGAAAAGTGTTTGAGGCTGCATAATAGTTGAAATCTGTACAACTTATAGAAAATATAGAAAACCAGAACTTTTACCAGCAATTTACAAGAGTCTTCAAAGACATTTCCAAAAGTAAACCTCTCCCAAGTCCTTGAAGCAGATTTCACTGTAATCACTTTAACAGAAGCATAAGGGAGTCTTCAATGGATTTTGCCAGTCAATGGCACTGAATAAACAAATTCCATCAGTGTTGCTGAAAGACAAGCTGAATCAGTCAGCAGTTAGAACCCTATTGGACCTGATGAGGAGCCCGAATTAATGGCTATGATAATGTTCAGGCAGCCCTGGGGTGGATGAGTGACGCTGATTATACACCATGGGCAGGGTGTCATTAATGTAGTTGCTGGGAATGAGGGACAACCTTTCAGGCCAGGCTGAAACCCCAGAGCAATCTCCTCCAATTTATACCCGAGTGACACAGTGCCACACACACACAATGCTAGAGAAAGGTTTTAGTGTTGAAATTGCACTGTTGACCAAATATAAAGGTTCATACTAGTCTCTGCCGGGGCCCCATTTACATGTCACTCTACATGCCGTGATAACTGGCACATCATTTCAAACCTTCCCTTCTTTCCATACTTGTGTGGCCATTCAAGGATTATCCAGTAGAATCCCATTCTAATCCAACGCCAGCATTTATGCATACATGCTTTGTGGAGACCTCTGCTGACGGCATGTCTCCACGCGACTGAACTGCCCATTTTCATCCTTGTCCAAATCCCTGTATAAATGTCCTTGATAAATTCAATGCGAGGACCTTTGGCTAAGCTAATAAAATAGCTTGCTGAAAAGATGACCATAGCATCATTTAACTACAGACTCCGTAGGTGCGTGCTACGTCCCTTGCAGCCCTATAGTCATTGTGAGTGTGGAGTGCTGAGGCACTAACCATCATTTGGATCTTTGGAGTCCAGATTAGTACATTCTGAAGTGTTCATGTTCCTATTCAAAGTTGCAAGGAGACTAAGAATTCTAGTGCAGAACAATTCCTATAAAAGGACCACACAACCTTGAGCCCAGAAGACCCTTGAGTCCCGTCCTGCCTGCCCACTTCTTGGATCAATAACACATTACAGCACTGTTGGCCAGCACTAGGTGCTCCCATCCACAACAAACATAACGTAAAAAGGAGACAAGACCCCATTTTCATGTTGGTATTTATGACTATAGCCAATCCAAGGTCTGTGCATAAATCCTGCAGTCCAAAGCCATTCCAGTGTTTCGATGAAAAATATGCAGGGTCCAGCATAGACCACAGTATAAATGCTTGCTGCTACTGGGCTCCATCTACCTTCCACAATCTGCTATAGGCTTGGCTGAAGGGCAGAGTTTGAACAGAGATAACCTCGTGCAGATAGCAACAGCACCAATTTCAAAGCAATGTGCCACACTGGCAACCGGTTATCAGTCTTAGGTAGGACACCACAGGGAGTGAAGAGTCAATGGGAAACAGCCCCACTGCCAATGGGGAGTCGAACCCAGCTGGGCCAACCAAGATGATGAAGCACCTGCAATGTGGAGAATGAACCAATCAGAACAGTGTTGGCTGGAAAGTGCCATGCTTACCTGAAGAAGGTGACAAAAAACTGTACTAGGTCCATGAAGTTACTGTGCTGGGAGAAGGCGATCTAGAAGACAACCAAAGAGGCACAACATCAGAACAGGGAGTCAGAGAGGGGAATTAGAGAAGACAAGGTTTATGCAGGCATCAGAACATTGAACGTAACATTTCTTTAAACCTCTGTAGTACCACATCTAGGATTTCAATGCTACCCTAAGCTTTAATTAGTTACAACATTGCACTACCATCTGTTGCCAGTTGTCTGCTTACTATTGTCATAACTGTCCACCTTAAAATGTATGAACTGGAAGACTATTCTTGTTTACAACTGCACCCAAACCTACAATCATACAGAATCATAAATATGTGTATACAGATGACATAGCAGCTCACCAAAACAAGACAGTTCCTCTAACCTTAACACCCACTGTGTCGAGCTGGAACCATTTCTTATTGACAGCACAAAAGACTCCTCACTCGTTTCCAGATAGTGGTCGCAACCATGTCTGTAAATATTGGTTTTCGAGCCATTTTGGACAGAACTGACATTTCCGATACTCTCACCGTAGCCTACAGGAAAGTGCAGCATGAAGCTAAATACCACATTGTGCTGTTTAGATTACGTTCAAAATTGATATTTTTCCTGCTGTATTATCTTTCAACAAAAGCAAGCCAGGCTGTTTTTATTCACAGATTTGACGTCAGGCACAGAGACAGAGATGAACAAGGATCGTTATTGTATTTAGATCCCCAATACATACACAACCCATATACGAATACATGTTTATTAATAATTGTCCATTTATAGTGAAAAAGGTAGAATAAATGGACTAATAATTACAAATAAAAATGAGACAGATGTCCAGTAAAGTGTGCTTTAAGTAGTGGAATATGATGGACAATGCATACCACTCGATTTTCAAATTAGGTATTTTTATGCATAATTCTTAATAATTGCACTGTGCTCATTCACTGCCAGTTACTGAGTGACAGCTTTTAAATGTGAAAAAAAATCTTTAAATTGAGCAATACAATAATTTAAAAATTACTTCAGCAGCAACATAATCAGCTGTGATTCACCTGTTGTCTAATAATTTTTAGATTTAACTGTTCTAAAGTTTACCTCCGCTTTTTTGTGTGAGCTCTGAATGCAGTCTACTCATAGTGTGGCATGTTTGCAAAGAATTTAGCCAAAATGATTGAGGCAAACAAAAACTGATCACCTGAAGACTAGGGCTGTCACGATCATGAAATTTTAGTTGCAGATTAATTGTCATACAAATAATTGCGATTAATGATTTCATTGTTTTTTTCTGTTCAATTTATAACACTATTGGCCTAGAGTTAGCCTAATCATAGTTGAATATTACATATACACCTTATAAAGAACTAAATATTGAATTGAAGCATATAAATAAAAATGCTTTTGCCATTTAAGCTTTGTAAACAAAAACTGTACAGTCCTGATATGACATTGACAAATAAGTTAGAACGCCTCAAGAAAAACAGTTAGCGTTGTCTTTTCCTGATCCCATACCACCAGCCTGATTTTACTTCACATGTCTGCATTGCCCTATCCGCTCATCCTACCATTTTATGGCAAATCATATTGTTTACATTTACTATAAACTAAGCAGAATTGGAATTATTGGAATTAAGGTAGTCTGGGGTAAATGTAAGTGAACCAAAATAAAACTCATTTAAACTATAGGGTACCTTACATCTGACAAGGCATCTGGTTAAGCAAGAAATCCGGCTTTGTGAAGCATAATACTGACCCCTGGGTTTAATGATTCTGTTGAAATAAAAAAAAGTGATACATTTGTTTGTCATTTCACATGTTCACGCCCGCATATTTCCAGTTTTTTGGTCGGCACTATTACCTAAATTTCCCATATCTGAAATGTGAGTTGATATTGTCATCTGTGAAATTGCTGCTATACAATGACATGGTATTTTGGAATACATACAGCATTGGTTCACTCTAAACTGAAATTTTGTGTTTAAGCCATATTTATATCCAGGCATGCACATAACTGATACGCAAGTATGCATTCTTCATTTGTACAAATGCGTATTTATTTTATGTGCATTCACGGTGTTTTGGCAAGAAACTACTACATGTACACTGCGCATTACACCATGAAAGTCGCACAAATTAGCCACATAAAGGCTAAAATGTGCGCTAATTTCTTGTCATAACAGCGTTAATGCACATAAAATACACACGCATCTGCGCTGCTACAAGGAATTTCCACGTGTATTGCTTTACGGCGAATGCATATTTGCGTAACAGTTATGTGCATCTGTTTATATCACTCCAAAGCAGTAGGATCTGAAAAAACTGGAAAAATAGCCTACATTTCTCTAGCTCTTTGTCCTATTGGCATACAATACTGGCTTTGCTGCAGCATAATATTGGCAGCTGTCAGGGGCATATACAGTCATCCCACCGTAACGAGACACACATGCAAGTGCTATGCAGAACTTTTCTTAAACAGAGAACACAAAGAATCCAAAATCGGAATATCTGGCTGATATTCTGGACTGGTGGAGATCACTCATGAGCAGCCAGCCCGTAAAATGAACGTGAAGCAGTGAAAATGAATACTAATGGGATCAGGCTGGCTCATGAAAATGTTGTAAAATGGAGTGGTACAAATTGGGCACCGTCCTGAAGTGTAATGCTGCGCATGTGCAGACCTGCGAGGTACAAATAGTGCAGGTGGTATGGACTGATTCAGAAATGCAATGAGATGATGTCATTAAATGCGCACCAGCCAAACATTACACGGTAGAAAACAATGTGGAAATAGTGATGGAAATATGACAGTTTTGTCTCATTCAGCTATTTTTATACAGATGGAGACGATTCTAATGATTATTCAAAAAATAATTGAGGTCAGTTCAAATAATCGCAATCAAGGGATTATGTAATAATTGTGACAGGCCTTCTGAAGACATTCGTTTTCAGCGTATGAAAATATTTTGGATTCCATAAAGACAAAATAAGCAAAATGAGCAAAAGCGAGTGATTTGTCTGCGCTGCTTTGTGTCTTGTTGCCAAAACTCTCAGCAAGAAGTGTAAGAGAATCTGATAACGCTGCTGCTGTTAATTTTATATGTAAATTAAAGTTGTCACAGTCATTTTTTGAAATTAATGCTCTGTGAAATTCATTCTAATAAATTGTTTACCAGTAGAGCCTTTCCGAGTAAAGACAGACTGTATTGGTAGATGATAATTTCTAATTGGCTATAGTTTACTAATATATCACAGATTTCATACATTGCAATGTAAATTTTTCTAATATCATTCAGCCCTAGTTTCAAGGCTGCTTTTAATGTTTTAAGTCATCCTTTAGCAGCAATAAATGCCGTATGGAAATTAAATGAGTATCCTAGAAACCATATAAGTATTGTTAGGATTGTGTTAATAAAAATAAATTTCCATTTGCCATAACTATCCAAAGCAGTATGCTACTGCACATGAGCCATCTCTTCAGTTAAATTTAATTTCAGCTTATTGAAACTACTTTTTAATCTTTTATGCTATCCTCTTGCAGCAACAAATAATCTCATTTTTTATCAAAAGAATCAATGTTTTGATCCATACTTCATAAATGTTTCTCCGTGTATGGTGGCGGCAAAGTTAGATGAATATTATTTGAGTAGTGACAGGCAAAATTCAGCAAGCGATTCTGCTGGAAATACCCAGCCCAACTCATACCAGCTGCAATTGCCTCTAAGTATTAACAAGATTTAGCAGATGTAACTAAACTGCTCAAAACACAAAAATGATCGTGAGCATTTCTGCTGGTGGTCATCTCAGATTTGTAATTAAAAACTGCCTGGATTGCTTCTGCTGGTAGATATCACAGCCAGAGAACCGGATATCGAATATAAAGCTAAATTTATAGTAAGTTTCATTAGGTAGGTTACATTAATTTGTTTCCACAACTTTGTTCTCTGAAGTTCCCCATAATTGAAGCAGCATGTTAACATAAACGAAAAAGCGTAAATGAACATTAATCAATATAAGTAATTCTGCTTATGAATTAAAACAAGCACTTTGATTAAACTGCAAAAACAATAAAATATTTAATACCCAAAACTGTATTTTTTTTTTTTTTTTAAATGTAATGCCATTTTAGGCCTGGATTTTTGCTACATTGCTTTAAATTCTTTTTAATACTTCTTAAGGAGCCGTGGAATCTCTGGGAGAGCTCCTTCTGCAGAAAGCTACATACTGCCTGAGCTGGCCATTACCAAACGAGCCCATCCTGTATGCAAAGGCGGCCTTGATCAGAATGACTTAAGACCCTGGAGAAGCCCAGCATGAATGAAAGTGAATAAAACCTGATGACTTTCCCACAGCAACAGAATACATGGAATCCCCTTAACCATGGCTAAATTAAAGAAGGGGGGATGGTGGAATGGTGAAGTGTGCTAGGGAACCACGTTCAGTGGTCACTCATGGCACCTGAGGGATCCTGGCTGGGGTGAGGATGGTATGGCTGAGATGGTTAATAGTTTGACCCTGCTTAAGCTGCATCAAACCCCAGCATCTGAACTCATGGTCAAAACCAATAGTCATGCAGGGCTTAATCTCAGGAAAAATGAAGGAGCCCTGATCCTCACGGCGGTCTCGGTAACCCTTCCCAACACCACCAAAGTGGAGATGCTAGTCAGGAGAGAGAAACTGCCGGCCTCAGAACCAGAAATCACAAAGGCCACCAGGCCCATTTCTCACACGGCAACAGAAGGATGGTAGCAAAGCCTAATTTTAAATCGTTCTAAAGCTGAAAACCAACCTGAAAAGCATTTAAAGTAGGTGGCGTTTAGTGAACGTCTGAGCCTCCCATTGTGCGTTTTAGCCGCTAACACAGAAACTGTACATAACGGTAGTCACTGGCTACAGCGTTTTTTTAGGTTTTTTTTTTTTTTGGATGAACCAGTCTTTCACGTCACTGCCATCAGCCCCATGACTCATTACAAGTGATGTTTGCAAGCAGACATTTTAATAAATGGTAAAGCGAACCTGACAGGCTGTCACGCCGGCGTCAGATG